ATATGTAACTTATACACTTTGTTAAGTCTACTTATTACCTGCCACTATTTTTTTTCTTAATGCCTGAATACTAGACATTTTCCAAAGCTTGAAGCAGACTGTTGAACCACGAGATTTAACTCAAAAGATTAAATTGGAGTGGATATACTAAAAAATATGAGTTCATTCAACACTAACATGACTGATGTTCAGGGTTGTGTAAGGACTTCATACATAGATTACTTTTGAAGTCTGTCTTATCACCAGTGTTCATGATAACTTAACTGCTTTCTGTGTCCTGCAGATAAAAGCAGCAGCATTAATGGAAAATTCAACTCTTATCAAGTCTTTCTTTAATAATTAGCTTACGTATTATCTCCGGCCACTTTATTGGCACCTCTTACTAAAACCAGGTTGGACTTACATTTGACTACAGAAATGACTTCTATCTTCATGGCATCAATTTAAAAAGGGACTATAAATACTTTTTAAAGATTTTGGGGCTTATTGACGTGAGAGCGTCACATAGCTGCCTGAGATTTGTCAGCTGCACATTCATGGTGTAAATCTCCCCTTTCACCACATCACAAAGGTGATCTACTGGATTCAGATCTGGTGACTCTGGAGGCCATTTGAATACAGTTAACTCATTGTCATATTCAAGAAGCCAGTTTGAGATTACTTGAGCTTTGTGACATGACACTGTGGTCATAAAGAGAAAGAATACTCGGGTAGGGTGTGGCATTTAAATGATACTGAGTTGATACCAATGGGTTTGATACAATGCAGGATGCATCCGTGGTTTCATGTTGTTTACATCAAAATGAAGCCCTACCATCCATCTGTGTCACAGTAGAGATTGAGACCCATCAGAATTTTAGTCAGAAAATTGCAGTTTCAGTTTCCTGTTCTTGGCTGACAAGTGTGGCTTTCTGCTGCCGTCACCCATCTGCTTCAAGGTTCCACATGTTTTCTGTTTAGAGATGCTCTTCTGCATTTTTGGTTGTAAAAAGTGGTTATTTGAGTTACTGTTTCAGCCAGAAAACTGTTGCTCACTGGATATTTTCTAATTTCTGGACCATTAATTGTAAACACTAGAGACAGTTGTGTGGGAAAACTGACAAGCCTGTCTGGCACCAACAGCTATGCCATGTTCAGAGTCACTTAAATTACTTTTCTTCCGTATTTTGATGCTCAATTTGAACTTCAGCAGGTCGTCTTGACCATGTGCATATGCCGAAATTCACAGAGTCACTATCATGTGATTCATATTCGACTTATCAAACAACTGAGAAGGTGTACCTAAAAAGTTGTAAAGTAAGATAAAAAATTCAAGTAAACTACGATCAATTATGGCACAAGTTCAGTTTGTTCTTTTTATTATTTAGAAGTGATCATACATAAAAAAATAAACTCATAACATTAATTTAGTGACTGTAAACCACTGACACAAAGAAACCAGAGTTCTCTGCACTGTGCATCATTTCAAGTGTATCAGCACATACAGCAGGAGACCCTCACACAAACATAAATAAATCACAGTATAAGTGTGTACAGATACATCGTTTTAAAAGTAAAAAGATGTTACTAGCTTTTCCTCTATCTTTGTATGAAAGCTTTAAAAACCAGAAGAGGCAGAGCATTCAATGTTCAGCTGAAAATCTGCTTTGAATCAAATACTAGAAAACTTTCCACAGACAAAACCGCTTAGCAAAATTTCTCCAAAGTTGAATTATCGATCTTTTCCAGCCTTGCAGTAGAGAACCATTGAAACCACCATGGCAGCGATCTGCAAAGACAACAGTTGATCAACATTAGATCTAAATACAGTGATCTGAGATGAGATACAAGTTACAATGTGGACAAATTCTGTGTCATATTCTGTACTCTGTAAGATGCAAATTGCTGCACAAGCTGTGGACTCTGTCATGCCATTTATAAGGTAAGGTTGAGTCAAATTATGGGATGTTAACTGAACTGTTTATTTTATTCAAAAATAAATAAGGTGTTCATTTGGGCTGAAACTATTTCCCCTTACTTCAAGAGTCAAATCAGTATGAAAATTAACTTTTTTTAATATGTTGTTTCACAGTAATAAAATTAAAATGAATCACCCAGAAAAAAGACACACACACTGTGTCACCTAGTATCATTTATAAGTATATGTAAGATATATGGCCATAAAGAAATTGAAGATAAAAATATACACAATAGATAATAACTAGCATGCAGTATATAACTGATGGATGACGAACGTGAACGATACCTCGAGAGCAGCGATCCCCATTGCCACACCTGCAATGACCAGAGCGTTGTCCTCTATCAGCTGCAGCAGTTTGTCAAAGCAGCCATCGATGTTCTAAAAGCAAAACAAATGTTTTTAGCTGAGGATGGGAAACACTGCTGTGCACTGTACATTGGATTCATTCTGTTGCTGACATGCATAAAATTAGGCCAAATGTAGGCTGGTCTCATACCGAATGTTGCGCTTTATTTTCATTGCATTTCTCAGCACTGATGGTTGAATTACAGCATGGGGCTGGATAGAGACCACCGTTAATGTTAAAAGGCGAGTCTGTAAAATCTGTGTAGTTCCTGTATCCACAGCATTTAAGCTAGAAGAGAGCAAAAAACTGTTAATGCAACAAGTTTTTAATTACCATAACAACAGAACAAAATTACGACTACAAGTTTGATTAATGTGTAAAATGTGAAGTAATTCAAAACGTTAGTCTTAAAAGTTTGATCAAATAAACCTCCATGTGCAAATAGATCACAAACCTTTCTCTTAAATAAATAAATGGGTACAGTACCTCTTTCATCGTGTTGTTCCAGACAGAAGTCAGCTGGTTTTCCTTTCCATAGTTGTTTTTAATGCTCTTTTGGACGTTTTTCTCCAGTTCCTGAAGAAGCTCACCAGCCTGAGTGACACAGACAGACAGTAGCACGTTATCATGCTTTTTAGTTTCTAAATCTGACCATTGGCAGCTCTTGCCAGATTTTGCTCTTCAGAGCTACTTACCACATCTTTGAAGACAAAGAGCACAATGGCTCCTGCAACCTCGATGAGGAAGATAATCAAAACAATACTGAAGAACTAAAAGGGGGAAAACGAAAAAGCATACTGTAAAACATTCTTAACAGCATACTCTTAAGGTGTCAGTAGAGAAACAGATGTATAGTTACAAGAAAGTACCTGCTCAAATATGAAGCTAAAGAGTAGCTACAGAAGAATCACAATCTTAAGTCACTATACAGTACATGTCCATTAATACGGTAAAGTTTTCAAGATGGCTATTTACTGTGCATTTCTAAGTCAGTGTAACAGCAAACCCAGCCCTAAAACACATTTATTTCCTGCAGTGTTTGTTTTTTGTGTGCAGTACATTAATTGGCTGTTGGATATGCCTTTCCACACTAACTGCCATTTGTACACTACGAGTTTTGTCTTCTTTATCCACTCACATCTATCATATTGCCTTTAGCCTCATTCATTTGACAAGAACTAGCGTCAGCAGTCATAAAGTGCTGGCTCTGGTAAGTCAGACTGTTGAAGAATCTTTCACCTGCACCTGTTTTCAAATGTATCGATAGCACACGAAGAAGAAATTGACTGATGTGTCAGTATTTGGTCGCATCATGTGTGAGGACACACGTCTTTAAATGAATGGCAGGAAATGTATATATCTCATGTATATCTCATGCACATATCTTTCTTTCTTTCTACATAGCACTTTAATTCTTATTGTTTGCACTGAAGCACCGCAGCAATTTCCTAATGTTGTAAACCTCAACATCTGGCAATAAACCCCATTCTGATTCTGATTCTGATTCTGATTCTGAAATACTAAACACTTCTTTTAAACATTTTTCTGACTCAGCTGACTTAAATATAATTCTCTCTACTCCCCAGTTATAAACTGAAATTGTCATCTCAAGGAATGACTTTGGTGCCATGTTATATTTTATTGATTTGGGCAAAGTTGCAAACTTTATTATCCTACTATTACAGACACAGAAGACCATATCTGCTGTTCTTTCTTTCTTTCTTTTTTTTTTACAAATGTTTTATTCATTTATTTTTATTCCAAACTTTGCTCACCGTCAGCAGCATGCACTTGCTCTCCCTGATGGCACCGCAGCAGCCCAGGAAGCCAATCAGAAGTAGTACAGCACCCACGGCGATGAGCAGGTAGCTGACGTTTGCCAGTTGTGATAAGGAGGAGGTGTCTTCCACCTCATCCAGTATATCCAGAAAGGAACTCCTGTCCACCTGCACCCAAATTCCCACACCCAGAATGACGGCACCTGCTAACTGCAGATTTATGAAGAAAGAAAGGAGAAAAAGAAAAAACTGTAAGATAATGTAAGCAGACGATTAAAACATGGAATGCTAATGGGAAATTAAACTAAAAAACTGAACGTGAATGATATGAACTGCACTAACTTTTTTAATAAGTAACAGTGGCAAAATAAATTGTATTTATTTATAGCTGTCAACATTTTAAGAAAAACAGTTTCTTACTACATATTAAATTAATTTTCTGATATCACTGAAAATCCGAAGGAAAAAGACAAAAATAGGGAACAACAGACGTAAGAAGAAAAGTTGGCAACTGGATTTCTTTAGGTTTGCAAAGACATTTCACCTAAAACTACTCAATCTACTGAAAACTACTCAAGACTTCCAGTTGCCTCTTTTTACGCTTGATCGGGGTGACTGATAAATTACACAGACATAAAGAAAAATACTCTGGAAATGAGTTTGTTCATTCTAGCAACATCAGTAAAATAAAATGACAATGTAAGAAGTGACACTGTTACAATAGAAGTAATGGGAGCTGTAATTTTTCTGCATGCGCACAAAGTAATCATAAAAAAAGATTGATGAAACTGTTATGGTGATGAAAAACTGTGATAACGGATAAAAAATGAGTGAAACTGTTATGGTGATGAAAAACTGTCATAGTGGAGGAAAAATTGTTTCCGAGCATGGAGGGCAATCCACAGATCAGCGCTCCTGTCAGTTAATGCTCACTGAAAATATTCGACCTGAATGTGACATGTTTGCATTGAGCGGGAGCACTGTAGCGATAATTGGTGTTATGTTGTAAGTTAGTTAGCTAAGGCTAAGCAGACCATCTTTTCTCTTCGACCTTACATTAAATAGACATAATATTCAGTGGTAATGTTCATCTAATCTGATTTATGGGGAAAAGCAAATATTCACATTATCGAAAACTCTGACTTAAAGCCATATCTGAACAGAGAAAGTGGGCTAAAATGTACGTCTTATTGAGACTACCTATAAAAGAGAATAATTCATACAGCCAAATGAAATGGTTTGGCCTTTTTTGATTCACTACTCTCTGTAAAGTCTTCTTTGTAGTCTGGTGTAGGATGTGAAACCAAGCTGTTGAAGAGATGCAGACAAACAGAAGTTCTCTCTTTTTTCCAACTTACAAAGATGCCGCCATTGAAGATGAACATCATAATTTTGAGAAAGCCGGAACAACACATTTTGGCTGATTTCTGTTTTTTCACTCTGTTGAAGAAACAAGAACAAAAAAAATTATGTCAGTTCAGGTGAAAACAACTTATCTAGTGTAATTACAATTATTCTTTTTCAGCATTTAACATGGGGAACTTTTCTTTTACTGCTGAAATTCAAATCAATAGCAAGAGGCAGACAACACAAGCAGTGGCCAACATGGGTCACTCGGCATTCGCTTGGGTTAAACATTAACCAAAGTAGCTGGCAGCAAAAGAGTGGGGGGTCGTAATCTTCTTTAAATATACCAATCGTTTCATGCTGACGTCATGCAGTTTCGGTTGAAGCATTGCCCAAGTCTACATGTTATTTTTTATTCATTTTGCTGCTAGTTATTTAAATCATCCTACTCTAGGCACCTCAGCTGGGTGATATGTTTGCTTCTTTTTTCCTTGCATTAAAGTCTGTATTTGGTTGAGTTGAGGTAAAAAAAAAATAGCTTCCTCTAGCTTTGAACTTGCAAGTGTGCTGAAATATTACAGCTGAGGTACCTTATCAGGTTAGTGGTTTCACAGTTTAGGTAGCACAGGAGTGCCATAAAAGAGGCACACACAACCCCTTGTCCATTAACTTGCACAACCTAACATGCCTGTTCCTGGTATCAGAGAAATAAACTCCGTTTTATAGTGACTGTCATGTTCTTCCTTATTGCAGCTTTGACAACAGCAATCAATTGGACCTACTTTGCAGCTGCAACCTTGTTTCCATGAGGCAATAAAGTTCCCTTATAACACCTCCATGTTAATTTCTGAATACATACTCGAGCAGCCACAGAAGAGGGGAATAAATTACTTAAACTCTAAGAAGAAAAGATGTTTCTGCACCAACACTTTTAATAGAAATGCAGCAGCTAAATAACTCAGTTTGATGGTTTTTTTTGTTTTTTGTACCTGTTTTTATACAAAATAATAACACTTGGATATTGCTAAGGAATAGTAATCATGTCACTACAACTTGCCTAATGTTAATAAAATCCTTTGATTACAGAACAAACCATTCATCATCCGGATGAGCTTTAGATTAAGGAAGATTAATAGCAATGTAGTTGTGGAGTTTGAATTAAAAAGTGAAGAAAGCAACTATACCTGTGTTGTACTGAGGTGTGCGTGTCCGCTGAGGTCTGATCAGCGAGGAGTGTCTGTGCATCGACGATTTGGACTGCCCATTTAAGTTCTCACAGGTCGCACAACCCCATGACCAACACGCCCACCATAGGACACACACACACACACACA